ACCCCGTCCCCGCGGCCGCAGCTCCGGGGCCACGTACAGGCCGGGGCTCCCTGGGCCGCGCTCTCCTCGCCGCTCACCCAGGGGCCTCGGCCTTATTTACCGCGCACTGCCGCGAAGGCAGAATTATTTATTTCCCCTGGGCCTTGCCCGGCTCTTCAGCACCGCAGCCTCCGCACGCTCCAGCTGCGCACAGCTCCGAGCCCGGCCAGGCCCCGCGGCCCTGGTGCGGATGCAGGACGGGCTCAAAGCAGCTTCCAGGGCTGCTCCTTGCCCAAGGGGTGATGGCAAAGGGCAGATTTTTCCCCAGCACCTCCAGGCACATCAGCACCTGCATCCAAAGCATGGCCTCACTCAACAGCACAGCACAAGTCCTTGTTTCCTACACCAGCTTCCCAGCTCCCATTTCCCAAGGGAGCAAACCAGGCTCCCCAGACACCACACAATTTGCCCAGCTCAGAACAAGCCTGTTTCAGAGGCTGTTGTGGCCCCTGTGTTCCCATCCCCAGGGCTTTTCCAGCCCCAGATCCAACCCAACCACACAGAACCTCCATCCCTGCAGCCACACAAACCTCCAGCTCCTGCCACAAACAAGGAGCAGCAACACACTGGGTCCCAAGCACAACACCAGCCCTGCAAGGGCACACAGCCAGAGTGAAAAACATCCAGGAAAGAGCACAGAGCCCCTCCGGGCCTCACCTTGCAACTCTGCAGTGCTCAGCACAACCAAGCTCATGTCCAGCAGCCTCCTCCTCTTCTCCATCCATCATCCTCAAGCAGCTCCAGCTCCTTTATCAGCTCCTCCCGTGCACAGGTGCTCGGCCCCTGGGGAGCTGCAGGGACCCAGCTCCCTCCGGCCCTGCTCCTTCCCCAGCCCGTGGGGTTTGGGCTCCGAGAGGGAGGCAAAGTGACAGGAAGAAGGAAAGAAAAGTCCCAAGTGCAAAAAAAGTTTTGCAGCCAGTGATGGGCCCATGCGGAGCTTTTCAGGGCGTGCACAGCCCTCGTTCATCCCCAAACATCTCCGAGCTCCACCTGAGCAGGGTTTGCAAGGAAAAACGACCTGTGATTAAGGGTTTTAGCCCACACCTGCCTGTGCAAAACCCCCCAGTGATAACCCTGACACACACACCCAAACTTTCAAATTTGTTGTGTGATCTTAATGATACAAGTGCCTTTAAAGCAGTTTAGCCCGGGAGTCGGGTGTGCATCCATGCCAGGCACAAAAGCTCAGCCGTGCAGTGTCACCGGTGGGCAAAAAGCACCCCGTGAGCGGTGAGTGACACAGCACAAGCAGCAGGAGCTGTGGGCTGCCTAGGAGGAGACACTGGTGGCAGCAGGGTCCCCCGGGGACCGGCGAGGATCGTTGCCCCTCTTGCCTGCAGCCCGGGAAGCCACCGCCGCTTTAGAAGAC